GACTAGCATGTTTTTTCTAATTATGTTGGAATTACAAACATAAGAAACATGAAGAGATGGCATTTGATTACACCATAGGAAAAACAAAACCAAAGAAAAGTTCTAACATCTTATTTCTTCAATATACTAGTCCCTTCGTTTTGGGACAGAGAGTAACATCTCAATCTCATATTATAATTTGTTGCTGCATGGCATTACTGTCTATATCGTATTCAAATTAAATAAAACTTCTAAAAAGCACTTATACAAAGGTAAAATTGTCTAAAAATGCATCTAAAAACTATAGGTCAAATGATTGTTTTGCACATATCTCTAATTAATATGCCTCAAAGAACTTGTAACTCCTGGTTTTATTGACAATATCAAAATTGTCTCTATGAAAACGTTTTGATAGTTGATATAAGTTCTTTTTTGTTGCAGTAGGTATCTTAGGTCAAGATTTTGTTTAGGCAAAGTTTATTGTAGACATATATACTTCATGGAAGACACTCTCGAAATATGACTATTTGTTATTGGACCATGTGCACATTCCCCATTCATTTTCGGTTGAGAGGAACAATATAATACATCTAAATGTCCCTGGCCCCACTCATCATATTCTTTCCCTTCTCTCTCACCAGCATATGCCAACCATAGCCAAGGGCTTGCTGCTGGCCCCATGCACGTTCTGCGCAGTTATGCACATCCATAGGCCCGTGCCTTGCCTGAGCTCGAGCTCCCCTCATTCGAGTTTTCCCGTTGCCCAAGCTCCACCACCGCTCTAACCTAAATTCAACCCTCACTATGGGAGAAAGAGAGTTCATATCGATCTTTTCTACCATCTAACCAGAGATACCCGGCCATCCACCATTGTTGGGCACGAACTCTGCAAAACCCTAGCTCGACCACCGTAAATTTCCTGCACTTGAACTCCCTCGTCCAAAATTGAGGTGTCTATTTTCCTCCATGTGCACTACTCCTTTCCCATCTCCTCTCACTACCCTCTCGTCCACCGAAGCTCGACATATCGACCATCCCAACCATTGCCTCCGCTTCTGCTCTGCTTTGGCTCGTCGGGCCGCATGGGTGCATTGCTGCACCCAGCTGCCTGAAGCCAATAAACCACCACCAACTTACTTGCTCTGCCATATGTGTCATTGCTCGCCAAAGAGATAGGGCAAAAGAGAGAAGAGAGATGGGAGAAGTGGCCCTTTGACACTTTCTTTCTCCTATTCAACCTAAAATGGAAAGTTTAATAGTAAATAGCCACATTTTGGCAGTGTCTTCTTCCAAACATTGACTTTTGCTTTATCCAGAAGATAAATCACAAAGTCATGATGTTCTACAACAAAATTTACCTTTTATGTATGCTTTGTTGTCCACATAATTCAATATGCCATCTGTTAGAAAATGAATTTATTTAATTTACTTTGATCAATCACAGTTTTATACATTGATAACTTGTATGTACTTCCCCATTCCAGAATATAGGCATTTTTAGGTAAGCACGAATATTAAGAAAGTAGTTGGAGATGATTGAAGAAATGTTGTGATTAGTGGAGAAAAGAAAGTAGGTAAAGAGAATGGTTATAATTGGTTAAGAGAAGATGGTACGTGAAAAAATAGTCTCATTTTGAAATAAATTATCGTGTTAGAAATAGTTATATATTAGGATGGAGGTAGTAGTTTATATTGATCAATCATAGTTTATACGATGTGGTACAGTGAGGAAGCTTTAGAATCACATATGATTGCAATTAGTGGGTGATTATTATATATATGATGCTATGGGATATGCTTTTGGGCATATACTTCTCCTGCTCTGTTGGTCGTTTGCTTGCATGCATTACTTTGCCATCCGACAATCGCTTACTGTCACAATGCCCTCCGCAATAACCTCTTTAATGGCAAAACCAACCTGCTAGGGTCTGAAAGCACACTACAACTAAGCCGTGATTTGCAAGCCAGACAAGTTCCACTTCGCTTTTCATCCCAACCACCTTATCCCATCGATCCACAGACCACAATGAATCTCTCTCCAATTGCCTTTGTCCCAGCCGATTCAAGCGTAACTACGACATAATTCTCGCAAAAAGAAAGTAATTACCACATAATTGCAAGCAAGGCATATTCTTCCTCTCTACTTGCTAGCTAGCTAGCTTGTTCATATTCATTTCATTTCATTGTTTGTTTGTTAATTTGTATATGTATCTCTTCCTGCTCTCCTGGATTTGATTACCTCTGTGACAACTAGCAAAGCTGGATCGATCGATCGATCGATCGACCGACTACCTTGCTGTACTAGCTAGTTACTACTAGTTGGGGTCTCCAAAGCTATGGACCAACGCATGCATCCACGTGAAGGCATAGCTGGTCTTGCCTAGCTGTAGTATATAGCTGTTCACCGTGATCAGATGGGCGTCAAAGCGTCAAAACCAATGGATTCATTTCAATAAAGCCATGGAAAGGAACAAGTCATGCACATGGTAGCTGTTCTTTCACCGAACGTTTTCTCAGTTTACCGGCCTCGCCTGGAAAAATATCAAAATACTGATAATTACCGAAGTGCCATACGGAATCACACCGTTTATGTATCTTGATCAGCTAATGGTCACTTTTGTTATCTACTTGGATTCCTATGTTGACTTCTAGAATAGGCCTAATTCGAATTAGGGTTATGGAATTAATGAACACTGGAATTAATTATGCTAGTTGGTCAATCCAACTGGGCTAAGCATCAATTGAATGGGGCAATGTCCAACTGGGCTAATCAAATAGTGTACATGGGAACACTGGAAATAATGATGCTCATTGGGCAATCCAATTAGGCTAAACATATCCACAAACTATGTTGGAGTAGCATAACTGGTGTGGTGCTAGCGTAGTTGTTAAGCCCGGACAGATGATGCCATTGGTTCATCGGTCCATAGGTAGAACTGCCGGTTCACCCGCCGATTCAAAATTATAAGTTTTTGTTGAAGTATTGGTTGACTCAAAGGTTAAAACATACTCCCTCCGTCCTAGTATAAACGCAACGTAGTATAGATGTGACATATCCTATGACTATATGAATTTGGATGTTTAGATTCGTAGTCAAACGGAGCCATCGTTTGGCTTATTTGCGAAATAAAAGAAACGGCATATTTGCAAACAAAAAGTAATTTGTGAATAAAAATTTTATATACGTGTTCTTAGCGATCTAAAAGCAATTGCTAAAAAATAAACTTCAATGAAAAAACCTCAAAATCAGCTCCAAATTTAAGATTGAAAATTCAAATTTTGACTGATAAGCATAAACATAAGCGAAAAGATAAGGCCCATAGAATATGTCACATTCGTCTAAGTTACGCTTATATGTAACCCAGTTGGTTTTGATGGTATGCTCCCAAAGCTACTCATGGGTTTCGTTCCCATTCCTAGTTGCGGAGCCTGTTGGATTGGCTGATCCACAGCCTTTTCACATTCACCCTTATGAGTTATTTTTTTCATGTAAATTCATTGGATTTTACATAAATGGCCCTACTAAAATATAAGCAATGATAATTGACCCTATAAGGTAAAATTGCTCACTCCGTCACTGCACATTCCCTTTCCTATGCGCTCGCTTTGAATTTTCTTGAGAAAAATTTGCAACTGGTCTAACCGCTATGTTTTCCACCAATTCTATATAAATCCATGAGGTTCGATCATTTTTTTTCCAGTTCAATAGCAAGTGCAATCTTTTAGCAAGAAACCAAACTGGACTACATTTCGTTTGAATAGCAAGTGTGGTTTTTTTAGTTGAACTAGTCAACTGGACTAGGGGCTGGCTCCGATTTTATTCTAGTCTAACCAATGGTAAACTTGGGGCTGGTTCGATAATATTTTCCGGTTCAATAATAGGCATGGTTTTTTAAGTTGAACTAACCAAATCGTACATTTAAAATTATAAATTTTATCAAAAACTCTTAAAAAATATGCATATATTCCTCTAATTAATCTTGGTCCACCTACATTTCAAATTTCATATTCACTATATTTTAGCAATAAAAAAAGAAAACCTGATAGTTCCAAGCGTATAAATTTGTCGCACTGTTTCTTTTCCTGTGCTCTTGATGCATAATGAACCTGAACCTCAACTCTTTAGGTGGATATCAAGGTGTACATGATAGGCTTATGAAGAGGCAGCTTGTCCGCAGCCGGCCCAGTTCTTGATAGATAATTATTCAAGGACATGAACAAATAAATTAAATATTATTAAGTTAAAAAGTCGTTTTAAAAAGTATTCTAAGAAATAATAATGACCTAGCCATGATTTTTATATCCTCCACATCATCAGAAAACTAGTATATTTGAATTTATATACTAGTGCAAACATGACTAATTTATATTTGAATTTAATTCTACTCTCTTATTATTGCCTTAGATGATGTGTAAAAACCATGTCTCATATGATTTGTCGCATTATATTTTATCATCCTATGTGATAAATCATTTATAATTCTATGGACGCTATTCTATTCATTACATTGTGATGAGAATGTCCCAAAGCTAAGGATTTCGGTGTTCAAATGGTACAAGCGTAAAAGCCTCAGCTCAACATGACCAGGACTAGCATCGATGTCTCTAGACGGAGTATGGCTTCGATCCTACCATGCCCTCGTAGTCTACATTAACATGAGGCAACATTACCAGGACTGCATCGATTTGTCTCTAGACGGAGTATGGCTTCGATCCTACCATGCCTTCGTGGTTCTCAGTATAGGTAGAGGTTCAGAGCAATATTTGGTAAAGCCGATGAAGAAGAATCAAGACCAGCCAGTTGTTAGCCACTTTCTAATTGCATCAGCATAATTAACCGAGATAGATAAGCTGACTATTCTGCTACATCCATCAAAACAACAGTAAGGTGTATCGGTATCTCTAAAATTCCATTGTGATGTGTGCATCCAATAATTTTCTTTAACAAACAGGCAAGAAAGATATGAGCACCTAATGTTCTCACTAACTCATGCTGCTAAGACTAATAAAGATCAGGACAATAAAAGGTCTGCACAGCAGGATTTTGGGTCATCACAGAATGATCTCGATGGATAAAATGTAATGATGTTCAACCAAAGAGAGAGGCAACTTAGTACAGGACAATTAAATCCGAATTCCTTAATCCTCAGCTGTTGCACAAAATTTGATGACTGGGAAAGTAGCAAAAGTTTCAAGTAGCTTAGTCTCCAAAACATCTAGAAGCCTAAAGAAAATAACTTAGAACACTCGGTACACCTTTCCCATGGTGCTCTTCAGGTACAAGCACCTAACCTGCACGATGATACAAATAACATGTCAAATCATCAGAATAACTAGGCTGATGTCCAAGTGGCAGATAAATTTTGTATCTATGCTATAAGGAACACATGATCACATACGTTCTGCCAATTCTTCTTCAAAAGGGAAACAAGGAAGTTCACGCTCATCTGCACATTTTGGAAGATCTGCTTCTCCTCCATAGCACAGTTGCCAACAGCAACACCCATGCAGAGAACCTTCTTCAGCTGGAATTTCACTGTAGCCTTAGTCTCATTAACCTTGGACTCAAGTGATTCCTGATGCGTCACCAGAGTTGGGAATTTGCCTGCAGTCGATAAATGCAAGGGCATATGAACAAACATGGGCAGGAAATAATAGAATCAATTGCTAGCACCTACCGCAGGGTAGTATCAATGCATAGCTCATGTTATCATAAGCTCTATACAGTATAAACAATAAGTTCGTAAGCTAAAATCTTGGTTGATATGGAGTTTATGTTTCCAAGGAATAAATAACAAAGAACTTCTGTACCAGCAGAGCATGATTCTGTGAAAAGGGTTGAAAAAATCTTGATAATCAAGTAAAAATTCTTGACACTGGAACTTCCTAGCTACCAGTTTATAACTGTTAACTCAACAGAAAAGGCACTGAAACCACTCAACTAGTTAATAACAGCTATATACAACCACTGAAACCAAGTGGAAAAGATGGAATAAGGAAAAAGCCACTTGCCTGCTTTGTTAAGACCAGGACCAAGAAGTCGAGGAATCTGCTTGATGATAGCCTCAGAAGCAAGGAAAGCATGATATTTCTTTGCAAGCTTCTTAACTAGCTTCTTGTTTTTGTTCATTTTCTTGAGGGCTTCCACATCCATATAGTCTAGGCCCATTTTCTCTGCCTGCAGACCCAAAATTGTAGCATATAGAATTATCAGCCAGACATTAATAGTCCGATGAATGAGCACTACACTCAAGAATACAAATTTCCATATGCCATCAAGTGGAATCAATGATAAAACTTTTACGTTTGGGATTTTGGAAGCAAGGTATAATGATTGAGCATTCAATATCTATCATTTTGACAATAGAATAGACACACATTTACACAGAACAAAGATTATAATACAGTATCCAAGAGTACAAATATTTGTTTTATCATTGAGACAAAACACAGTCAATGCAGTAGAACCTTTGGCTATAATGGTTAAGGAGAATTTAGTTTTAACTAAAGAAAGAAATAATTGCAAAACAGCAGAGATCACACAGCAAAACACGCATTCATTTGCTAAATACGTAGTAGTAACTACCCAATTGCGATAAAAGTTCTCTCCACATCTCATATCAAAACCAAGTCAATGCAAAATCAGTAGAAGCATAACATACCTCTTCGACGTGCTGAGCATCACCAAGCATGCAAACCTTCAACTTAGGCCGAGGGATGTGGGGCAGCTTAACAGAACCACTGAAACGCTTATCCTTTTGAGGGTCATAGTTCTTCAGTCCAATCTGCAGCTCAATGGTTTCCACAAATTTGCGCTGCTTCTCACGAGAGTCATTAGCAATTTGAGAGATCGCTTCTCTCAGAGCATCACTCTGCAACTTACTGCAACAGTAGACAATAATAAGTTTGGCATTAATGAACATGTGAGGAGTCTATTATTGTGAATTGTTCACTACAAGAGATAGATCTTTTTCTTACAAGAGCATAGAATTGCAAAAATCAAATACAACAAGTTCCCTTTCAAGCATTTCTATAAGATAATGCAGCCAACAGCTAACTACAAGTATGGAACAACAAATCCAGCATCTACTGAAGCTATACAGGTTAGCTGGCATTGCCACGGTTTAGCCCAAACAATGACAAAAGGCCATCTTACAGTTAAAATAAGAGCTTCATCAAAATATTTAAGAAAATACATGACATAAAACGGCGCAATCACAATCCTGTTAGCTAGACCACCAGACATAAGGAACAAGCTCCATGGCTGAGAGCTGCACTAGATGTGAGTAGGCGGAGAAAAACCTAATCCCACCATTAGGGAGATCAACATACCCTAACACTTCATCACAATGTGGAAAATATCAGGATCCTAGAACCCAGCCTCTTCGACACTATCAACGCGACCACCTCCCGATGGTCTTCTATGGTTGTTGCCCGCAGGTGATGCAGCATCGAAAATCATTTCCCACCACCCCACACCCACGACCAACGCCGCAATCCGCGGTGCAGCCGGCCAAATCTGGCATGTAGTTCAATCAACCCGCCTAGATCCAACGCTCCTACATTTGCCGAGGCCGCTCTTCCTACCTAAATCCCCAGATTTTTTTTTACCCCCAATTCGCGGCGGCGCAGCTCCGCAGGCAAATGCGGCGCCTAGTCAGGCAACTACGAATGGGCAGAACGAACACTGAGAAACTGTGAACAAGTGAAATCCGTACCTCATGGCGCCGCCGGTGGTGCGAGCACAGATCCTGCACAGCGAGAGGGAGAAGAAGGCAGGATGAGACGAAAGGAGCAAGCGCCACCATCGAGTACGAGAGAGAAAGGAGACAGGAAGCGGGGCGCAGGGCAGCTTACCGCGACGAGGTACGAGGGAGGCGGCGCGGCGGAGAGGAAACCCTAGATGGCGGCGAGGAAGAGAGCAGTTTATATACTGCTGCCTAGCGGGTGAACCGCCTAAACCCTAGAACACACCCCGCGCGAGGGAGCGAGGGGCGCGGACGATGATGGGCTATGGGCCTATTTGGATTTGGGCAATTCTAGTTGAATCTTTTAGTTGGAAAAAGTTCATTCTGAGTCCCTCGACTATTGACAGGATCTAATTGACATGCCTCAATAACAAAACCGAGTATATCGCCTCCCTCAACTAGTCAACTATCAATTTTGGTTCAATTTGCCTTCTCTGGCTCCTCTCAAACCTTCCAGGAGCAGTAGCGACTTGAGAAGCCGAGAGGGCAGCAATGACGGTGAACCGGAGCTAGGAAGGGCTCCAGCGGCTCCTCCCCTCTTCGCTCCCTCCCTTCTCTCTCTTCTTTTGGTCTGGTCAGGATGTCAAGATCGTCAGAGGCTAGGACGGGCACGTAAGATGACAGCAAGGAGCGGAAGGTGATATTTGTTGTTCTGCTGCTAACGTTCGACATTGCTCCATAGAGATTGATGGACATGCATGGCCTTGCTCGCCAATCGTACCAAGCTCGTCTGTACCATTCAAGATGCCCTTGGGTCGCTGCCTGCCACTACTGGGACAACCTGTCGCGAGGCCTCGCTCTCCTATTCGAACTCTTCCCTACAGCCGCATGAGAAGGGCCCACATGGATGCATTCACCTTTCTCTGTCGACATTAGGGCCTGTTTGGCAGGGCTCCAGCTCCCAGATTCAACTTACCTGGAGCTGGAGTCCAACCAAACAGTCCAGATCTGTTCAAAGCTGGAGCGGAGCGCATGGAATCGCTCTGAGAAATTGAACTGGAGGGTTGGAGCGGCATTTTGGTCGCTCCTGAACTCCAACTCCAACCACGTTATAGAATTGCTCACATATTTTCGATGAAATTATCCGCAAATGCCATCGCCCTACCCCCCATCCCTCTCTCCCGTACTGCTTTACCCCGTCTTCCCCAACCTCCAGCTCGCGGGAGCGAGGAGGCGAAGCAGCAGACGGCGCATGGTGGAGGAGGAAGCAGCCGGCGGTAACGACGCACCGGCTGGAAATAGCCGGTGCATGGGCTTCCCCTTTCAGTGTCGCTCCCCCTCCTTCCCATCCCGGCGCACAGCGGCTGAGGGCGAGCACGGCGGCGCATGGCGGCTAATGGGGAGCACGGGGGCGCATGGTGGCTGAGGGCAAGCACGGTAGCACAAGGTGGATGGAGACGGTGCACGATGACCCCAAATGGCAGCACGATATTTTCTCCCAAACCCTAAAAATTTCCCTCACCTCTTCCCTTCATATTTGGTTGAGTAGTTGTTATCATGCAACGAGCAAATGGGGAAGTTTCAGAACTGAAGACTTGTCTAGTGATGAATGGTAAAAATGCAATGAGCAATTGGGATGTGTGAAATTTCAGAGCAGTGATGAGCTCTCTAGTAACTTTTTTTGTTTAGTGTTGTAGCTTGTGTTTACAATTATATACACACTTGGTTGGAATTGAGTAAATCAGCAAATGGTTATATACACACTTGGTTTAGAATTCTTTAGTATAAAACCTGGCAGTGGAAAAAATATCCTTTTATGGGAGGATAATTGGATTGGGGGCATACCCCTGGCTGAGCAATTGGGAGAAAAGGAATAGGGAATTCACTATGAAATCTTTCTATGCTGCTATGAGAATACATGGACTGAACTTCCCACACAAAAGAATTTAGAGGCCCTAAGGCACCCCTGAAAGTGGAAGTGTCCATGTGGCTATTAAAAACACAACATACTAACAAAAGATGATCCAAAAAATGGGGTTGGAGGAAAGGAAGCTATGACTTTCAATTCTGTGATAGATTTGAAGCTATACAATATCTTTTTATAGATTGTCCTTAATTGATTCATGGGGTGTTTTGCAGACCTCGATGGAAAGACAAGTCACAAGTGAGATTTTCAAATCAAGATTTGGTTAGAGGGCACCCCTACGAAGGATTCAAGATTGAATTGCTAGAAGTCCCTTTTTTTTGCCGTCATCACTGTTGTCCTTGCTTTCACTTGTTAGTTTTTCAGATATGTGATACCGAGATGTTTCGCAAAGGTTCTGTTGGATGTAAAGTAGCAATACAAAACTTCAGTGGGTTATGAGATGTCGGTATGACTGAGAGACTAAAACTATTGTTGGTTTTTTTTTGCTTGGAGCTGACCTGGACTCTTGCTTCCAAGCAAGGCCTTGAACTTATTCATGGATGGATGCATTTTACCTTGTATACGCAGCACGGCGACAGTGGCGGGGTCGGAGCACGGCAACGACGGTGGTGTGCAAGGTTTCCAGATCTGTGTGGAAGGTATCTGCACAGCAACGACGGGTTATATCATTTCATTTTGTAGGTTAGCAGCTGGTGAACTGCAATCTATCAAGATTTCACGTCTGCCTTCAGTTTTATCTGTTAGCTAATGACAGCTAGTGCACCTTTGTGTTTTTTCTGCTCTGTGTATTCTGCTGGTTTGTAAATAGATTATTATGTATATCTTGAAAAGTCATTGAAAATTGTCTGAACCTTTATTGAAAATTGTCTGGACCTTTATCAAAAACTGTTGTAAATTCAGTTCATCAATCATGTTTTCCAAGTGATTATCTGTGTTGTGATTCTGCATGTGACAGCTGCACATATTTTGATTTGGTTTGATATCTTGCAAGAGAGAGGCCAATACTTTCAGGATGGGATAACACAAAGCATTCATGATGATCTAGCTGGTCATACTGCACGATGATAGACCATATTACTATATGTTATTTTGTGGTCTTTTGCTCTATCTTTTAATGATAATGATGCTACAAGTTGTTAAACATTTATATTACTAAGGAAAAAAAGCATATTAATCCTTCATGAAGTAAACAGCAAGAATCACAAGGGCAGTATTGTCCATCTCCTCCCTATCCTCTCTTTCAGAATTTCAGGAGCTGACCAAATGAGCCAAACACTTTTACATCATCTCCAGCTCTTACAAGAGCTAGCTCCAGCTGGAGTTGGAGTTTGGAGTTAGGATCTGAGAGTTGGAGCTCTACCAAAAAGGCCCTTAGTCTATGACTAGGGATGAAAACGGATCGGCAATGGACGGAAACTAGCTTTATCATATTTGTTTTCATATTTTTTTCGAAATCGGAATCGGAATCGAAAACTCGGATATGGAAATGAAATCGAATATTATCGAATACAGATACGGTAGCGAATATTTACCGGTATATAAAAAACCCCTCAAATTGAGTTGCTTGATCAAGGAAGAGATATCGCTTATTATTTTAGTTCAACATCTCCAACATTTATATCGTCATTTTTGTAGACGGTCCCACAACCATATATAAAAATCGATTTTCATGGCTGTTTCTCTAAGAGATCCATATGTAAATATGATTATCATTTTCTATTCCCAAGACTTTTACTAGATGTATAACTTAATTACTTACCATTGTATAAATTGGAGATGTTATTTATTTTATTTCACATCTTCGAAACTTGTAATATTTGTTTTATATTTTAAATGCTTTCAAATACAAATGTTATAAACTACAAAGTGGTAGATCCCGTTGAGCTCTACAACTTTGATATGGAACACATCTCCATCAGATGTCGTTTGAATTGTAGATCTGAAATTTTGTAAAAATTAATATGGTATATTATAATGAATATTTAGACCCTTAAATGACCCCAAATAATAAAATAGTCAATAAGAAAGTTGTAGATCTCATCGAGCTCTACAATGTTGATATAAAGTTTGTCTTCATCCGATTCCATATGAAAAAGTTATGTATATATATGTGTTTTTTCTAAAATTTGCTCAATGTTTGCGGATATCCGAAAAAAATTCCGGATAGTTTCCAACCGTTTTCCGATTCTGACGGATAGTACCCTTACTGTATTCGTTTTCGTTTCCGAGAAAAAAAATCCGAATTCGTTTCCGAATCCGAGAATTTCCGGATAGTTCCGACCGAAATTATCCGAATCCAAAAAATGTTCTGGACGGACGGAAACTATCCGAACCAGTTTCAACCCTATCTATGACTGGGTTGGCTGAGCTCCATCTTGCATGGAACGCATTGGTTGCCGACAATACTTCCCTTCGCAGATGGGCAGACATGTGGAGCAAGGAGGCAACTGCTTTTTTAATTTTTTTCTGGTCACCTACATGTGGGTCCATGTGTATTTTTTTTAATTTCTTTGATGACTGAGCTACCACACGCATGCCATGTGGATTCTACATTACTAAAATCCACCAGCCAATATTATCGAGAAAGTCATTTTGCACGGTTTTAGTAGTTGGAGCCTTGGAGGAGTCGTTATAACCGATTTTGCGGTTGGGGAATATAAATCATCTTCCACCTCTGATTGAGGGAGTTAAAGACTTTTTCCTTTTTTACTTTTGGGGCACCTTTGAAATAAGGGATTTTTCTAGGAATTTTGATACATTATAGAAATTTTTCCCATGATGCCCAAGAGTTTGAGTGAAAAAATTATGTAGAAATCTTTTATATCCCATTCTTGGAGGATTTCAGACATGAACACAAACATCATTGTTTTGATTTTCTTTGAGATACCCAATGTACTATTTCTCTTCATCTCTCCTTTCAACTATATTCTAAAAATATTTTCCTCTAAAACATCTATAAGTTTTCTGTGGAGTATCCAATGATCGATTGGACCGATTCTCTTGTAGAAATATATATGTCATGACATCCAATCCTTGTGTTTTTCCTTTTTCTGCTTTTTTTTTTCAATTTTTGTGTACCAAACAAGCCCTTGTACATGTTATATTATCTTTGTAGAGGCTGGTTTATCTATACATTTGATCTGGCCTTTGTAATACTCTTGATTGATACTCGTAATTTGATACATCACGAATATGGCATTTGCGTCATCCGATTAATTGTAAGAAAAAGGATTGCTCATTTTCAGTCAAGCCGCATATTCGTCACAAATGGACTTTATTTCTTTTACAGAAGTGACGATTAATGGACTAACTTAACTCTTTGTTTTTAAGATAATGGACTAACTTAACTTTACATGAAAGTAGCCGTCGCAGATGGTTTTACAGGCTTCACGAATAAATAATTTTGATATTAGCAGAAAATATAGCTAGAAATGGTCGGACACTTTCAGCTGCTGAAGCAGTGTAAATACTTTTTTCCCTTTCCAGAAAGAAATACAAGTTCCAATAATCAAAGAGAAATTGCTCCTGAGCTCATGCAGCGTGTGATGGAGACTGAGGTTCTTGCATTCACAACATCATTAGATTGCAATCGCCTTGAAGTTATGGTACCGGCAATGCAATTGGCGAATTTAACACAGGAATGAGTCCAACCAAAACACACACACACACACACACACACACACTAAGTTTTGGTCATGATTCATGTGAATGCAACCAACAGACATTATTAAAATAACCACACATGGAAAAATTGTAAAGTGCTTGACAATATGATGCTCGAACTTACCTACGGGTATATATTACAAAAGCTAATTAAGCAAAGATGATAAAACTGATAAGGGAGAATACTGCTAAAAGCATATTATATGAGCATTAAATCCAAATGATTTTACCGCCAGGAATTTCTTGGTATTCTACGATAAAAGTAAACTTTTTTTTTCCAAAACTGTGATGGAAAATTTTCTGCAGCAATATATTGACTAGGTTCTCCAATCCCATAGGAAAAAAAAATATTACACTTGAACTTATTTTGGACTGGAGAGCCTGTGGTCAATTGACTGCAGCTGCTCCCGGAGATGCTGGTTGTCCTCCAGCAAACGGTCATACTCAAGCAGCAGGCTTTCAGATTGTTTCCGAATAGCAAGAGCCTTGTCCTCAGCAACGTGGACTTCCTCTGTCTTTTCTTGGACTTGTAGCTTCAGTTTCTTCATATCCTCATTGAGAGCACCAATCTCTTCTTGGTATTTCTTTGTCTCCTCAGATCTTCCATGTTTTGCTTCCTCCAACATTTTATTATGCTTAGTTACGGCCTCAACATTCTTCTTTAGCCCACGTAGCTCTCTGATGTATTGGTGGAGCCGGTCAATAACTAGAGCAAGAAATAAGGAATACCCTGAAAGAATATCATAAATGCTCAGAACTTCAACATAGGACAATATACATACTGAACTAAGGAACACAGTGGAATACATTTTAGAACAATTAAAGACTATATTCCATATATATAGCTGCTAATTCCATCCTCACACCCCCTTCTCCAGCTTATGCCTTATAGGGGAGAAACAAAGCACCTTATGTGTCCCTACTTCACATCAATGTTCCACAAAATGAAAAAAAAAAACAGATCTGATGAAATTAGTGATTGCACTACTGAAACAGAAAAAGAAAATATTATGGGAGTGTAGCAAGCAAGAATTATTGAAATCAAACTTCCATTGGTGAAACTGTTAACATTAGCCCCACCCCACCCATCAGCCACAGCAATTGTCTAATGCAACTGTAGCATTAGGAGGCCATGGAATTATCTAGTTTGTTTCAGTATAAATCAGTTAAAGATTAGGAGGTTATTTTTAAAGTCTGAGTTATATTGAACTTTCAGCGCAGAAGTTATTGGTTCAAAACAGAAACATATTTACCCTCAAAAGAAAAACAGAAACATATTGCCCGATTAGTATATAAACATATCATGGGCCAGAACGGTGGTCCCACCTCATATTGCTCATATTTTGTCAAATTGCTTAATCTCCGAACAACCACTCACTATCTAATATAATGCATTTCACATATTCAATTTTTTTTTGCATGATATAGAACACACGTCCTACATAACAATTTTTTTTTCCTGAACTCATTTCTCTGTTACACCTTTACCGATTGGATTAAAACACTAATTTTGTGTAGTTTTTAGAACATATGAAATGCTGCCCGCCACTGATTATCCTTTTCTTAAAAAAGGTTGGAACAGTGTTTAGAAAAAATGAAACAAGTGTGCCATGAGAATATCTTGCGGTTAGATCAATATATGGTTTCAACTTTCTAATCCTCTACGATACTACAATAGATCCTAGTATACTATACCTCTATACCTAGCATAGCTTTAAAGTGACCAAGCCTGAACTAGTGTATTACACAAGTAAACCAAATGCTAAATTAAACTAACAACTGACAAGAGGACAAGTATAAACTTAACTGCCATTAAAGAAACTGGCTAACCTAATAGCTTTAGCTTGAAATATGATATGTTTTTAAATGAATTCGTGGGGGGGGGGGGACCTAGTGGCAAAGTTCTTATATGCATGAGAACATTTTCGTTTTATCAGAGGCAGCCTGAGATTTGAACATAATATGGACCATTTCACAACCCACATGCATGCAGACTTGGGATCTTCAACTGAACTAAGCAGATATGCACTTTCTATAACCATATTCAAGACCAAAACTTGTACAAGAGTGGGCAGTGGGCACAGCTGGCTGCACTGGCTCAGCCAATGATCTCCATGATAAGTAAGTTAACTGCTCGTTGTGTCACAGTGCATCTTAGAAGTCAAGGGCATGTCAGAACTATACATGCCAAGCTGGAAGTTAACAGGGTGGACAATTTAGAGGAGACGAATGTTGCAGTCTTGCAAATCAAAGATATCCTTGGCTGTGGTTCATGGTTAGGACTACCTTGGCATGGACATCAACGATATCAAAGGGTTTAAAGAAAAAGGCATAAGGGATATGCAATGTGCTTTGGAGTGAAAAGAACTCCAATTTTGAAAGAAAGAATGTCCACATTGGATGACTGAATGCAAAAGAAAGCACCGTGTAAACATAAAATATGCTGGGGGTTTACACATAAGTACATCACATAATGCAACCTTCATCAATAACGTATACTCATGCAACTAGTTATTTATGTGTTTTGGCCTTGCATAACCACTACCATGCAATCCTTAATACTTATTATATGGGAAAATTTCCTTAAATAACACAGAATATTTGCATTATCCATTATATGCACTCATTTTCTCATTGGCATAATGACATGTGGCCTGGACCCACATTATGAACGAAAGACAAATGTATTTCACGAGTAGTCAATACAGTACCATGTAAGGAATTAATCCTTCAGACAATCATTGCAACCATCAGTTTGTAGCTCTGCACCCTCAACGTGAAAGATTTTTTTTCCTATTCAGTTACTGATGATCATTATATAACTTCAAGCCATACAAGTACAAGTGTACAACAGACCACACTGGCACTACTGTAATACTTATGTTTACCTATATATATAATCTGACTACAGAACACAATGCATGCAACAGATGCAATAGAGAAAAAGGAAAATGTTGTCTATGTCACTAATGTTGAGCAGTTCTCGTTAACATAGTAGAAGAGTGGCATAGATGTGAGGTGCTTAAAATAAGTGGAATATACGAGAAGCATTTCCTAATGGTATAATCATTTTTTCCTTAGACTAAAAGATGAGTGTAGACAAGCAAGAAGCAACATTGTTGTATTTTCCACCCCCAAGTTCACACTGCACATTTTTATTGTCCTTACTCAGAACACTCATCAGATGTTGACTGCTACAGTCCATGGGATGAGCTCATAACAATCTTTTCAGTGGTGGAAAAGTATACTTTTTAGATAAATATGAAATCAAAACACAGAAACAGGAAACAGCTCAGATGGTCAGGCGGCAAGAAGCCCAACTGGCTGAGTTTAATTCCTCTCAAGGAACTGAGTTTGCTCCAGTCGAACAACTTGAGACTTTTCTTGAACTTTTGATGTATCGTTAGTACAAGAAAATGCCTAAATTAGACCATAAGATTATTTCACCTGTTCACTCCTGTTTGTGCATTCATCCCTGAGGCATGATTATGGGAATCAGCTCCAAGACCAGCTACGACTCTCTATAGCCTAAGCCATCATTTTATTCATTTATTCCTTCTAACATTTTCAGACACCTAAGGAAAGCGCGTCATTCAGTAGCGATCGGACTGAAGGTTTGTGCGAAATGGATTTCTACATTTGTGAAAAACGATACGACTACTGTTTAGTACGAAAGGACAAGCAATAAGGGTATCCCCAACCCAAGACGAAAGCGCATCGGGCCGGCGCACACGAGAACCGATTTGATCGAGTAGCCAACACCTACCCATGAGGGATGCCTCGAGGAGGTGCCGCGAGAAGAGGACCTGGTCGGTGGGCGAGAGGGAGGCGCCGCCGCCGCCGCCGCCGGATTCGGGGTCTCCCCCGGCGCGGCCGCTGATCTCGGCCATGCTGTAGAGCGTGGAGGCGAGCAGGGCGAGGACGACGCCGGCGACGGTCTTGACGGCGACGGGCGCGCGGCGGCCGCGCTTGAGGCGGTCGATCCCCATCACGGCGAGCTTCCGCAGCGGCGTCTTGAAGAGGAGCACCGCCGCCACGGCCGCCTCCGCCACGAGCACCAGGAACAGCAGCTGGATCATTTTGCCCTCGCGTGGATTGGTTTCGTGGTTCGATTCGATGGAATCGAGGAAGGAGGAGGAGGAGGAGGCGGCGTTTGGGGGTTTAGGGCTTCGGACGAGGCGGGGATCAGAAAATTTTCGTTTTGTTTTCTTCACTTGTACTCCAGTTTCTAGTTTCTACACACGATGACATGAATCTGGCTTCGATTTGGGGTTTGGAACAGACCATGCGCTGTAGTGTTGGATACTTGGATCACGGATAAACGTTCGGTTCCATAAGTGTGTACGGCCCAGCCCTATCGTTTCATGAAATAAGTGAAATGGTATATTTACAAATAAAAAGTAATTTATAAATAAAATTTTTATATACGTTTCTTAGTGATCTAAAAAGACTGAAAAATAAATCTAGATAAAAAAATTAATTTTAAATTTGAGGTTGAAAATTCAAATATTAGCTGATAAATATAAGCATAAGTATAAGAAAAAGATAAGGTTATATGTAGTGTTAAATCGAATCGTGGGACTCATGTTGAAAAAAAGAATCCCCCAATCATAGCCAAACTGCTACAGGCACAAACAATTCTTTACTCGGTTGGTTCTATCATATTTTAGACTGATTTTTAACATGCATGCGCCGACTATCACAATGTAGTATGGTTTCTTTTTAAGGTTAATCGGATCCGTACCATCAGAATTTGTTCAGTTTTAAAATATGTCATTACAATTTGTCTATTTGTAACGAAGTCATCGTAATTTTACAACTATATGAGATACGCCACTGCATACCCCTTCACTGTGTTTATCAAATTTTTTGGACCAAAATATCCGCATCTTCTCTGTTCATCCTTTCTTCCTTCCCTCTATCTCCTCTTCCAGACAATAAATTCTGACGAGATGTCGCACGTCCCGCTGGAAGAACTCCCTGCCGTTTCTGCTGCCTGGCGTGCTCTGCAGCTTTGTAGAAGGTGTCTGTTCCTCGGCGCCGCTGGTGAGAGCGCCCCGCAACGGCGCAAGGCGTCCAGGAACTCGGCGCGGCTGCTCGAGTGGAGCAGGTGGGGTAGCGACCTCCATGCTCACAGGACACGACATTCAGGGTGGCCGATCGCCTTGAGCACAGGCCAGAAGGATCATCAGGGGACAAGAAGAACATGGGATTAGTTAGCACAAGCCATTTTCTCCATAAATAAAAGGACCAAACCGATTACCTGAATTCAGATTAATCAGCAGAAACGTTCTTCACGTGACAAGATAATCCTTTTCACACAAATTTTCTTCCAAGTGTGAGACCCCTCAGATCTAAACACAATCGCAACCCCACAAAAATGAGAACTTTATCTCCATCACCCACAACAGCAAACACCCAGGAGAAATTTTTGAGTACCTCTGCTTAGATTCAGATCGATCCATGAGCACTTGCGAGAACCCCACAGGCCGCACCATTTGCAACTCGTCAGCGGTGGCGGCGGCGACGACAAGCACTGGAGCTCTCTCTCCTCAGTCTGTCTCTCTCCGCCGCAGTTACCGTAAATGGAGGCAGGGACCTGCTGCAGGCCTGCAGCATGACGCGGGTGGTTGCTCGTCGGAGTTCGTTGCCTGCAAAAGAAAAGAGAATGGAAAGGGAGAAAGGGATGAAAGAAGAAGACAGGGTATTTTGGTCTATATTTTTTTTATGAATGTAGTGAAAGGGTATGTAATGGCATATCTCCAATACATATGAAGTTATAATGGTATGTTTTAAAATTGGTAAATAGTAATGGTATTTTTCAAAACAGTGAAATTTATAGTGGCATGAATCTAATTAACCCTTGTTTTTATGTACTATAAAATCAATTTAAGCCTTACACGTACTGGAGCTGTTATCATAATTGTTTCTCTTTTTTTTTGTTTTTTTTTTACTTTTGCTTTTTTTTCTTCCAACAACTTTTTATTAATACTGTGACTTGGCGAGTGACATCATGTCTTCGTATTGGAGCCAAGACATCACTTCAGCTAGGAGAATTACTCATACAGCGTGATTTCTACTCCCTCCGTACCATTTTAAGTGTAGCCATGATTTTTCGTGTTCAACTTTGATCGTCCGTCTTATTTATTTTTTTTAAAAGAAAAATAATAAACATAAGTCACGTATAAAGTACTATTCATGTTTTATCATCTCATAACAATAAAAATACTAATTATAAAAAAATTTCAAATAAGACGGATGATCAAATTTGGGTACAGAAACTTATAGTTGCACTTATAATGGAACGAAGGGAGTATGTATTTGACTTTTTTTCTTCTAATTTTTAAATTTTGAAGTATTATTTCAATGGGCATTTAGACTTAGGAGAGGTCTCTGGTCCTAATTGGTCTACTCTTGATTATGCCCCTAATATCGTAGGATTTTGTATATTTTGGCGATTGCAAAAGGAATCTTATATTGGAACAGTTTGAGCGTCCTAGCACGTAAAACCATCACTAAGAGATCAAAGGTGGCTTTTTTTTTTTAACAATTCAAGTTTCTATGTATTGATGAGAGTATGGCTAACAGAAGCCCGAAGCAGATCGCAATCCTATATCTTTGGATTTCGTAAAAAAAAAATGGATCTAACAGTTGCATACCCAAAACTGAAATCCCCAATGCTGAACTTTCTTTGTTCTCCACTTCTGAGGAAGTGTTCTTGCTCCCTATCCTAGATAGCGAGGAGGGAGGGCTGCTATATCATGTGGTATCGAGGAGGGAGCATTGGAGGCCATTCACTTTTTTATCTTAGAGAATCAAGTTTAGGATATGTCTTGAAGAGATATATCTTTTAAAGCTTAACCATCTCGTCAGAGATTCCAAAAAAGAAAAAGATGTAGGGAAATATTTTTGGGCTACCGCTAGACAAGCTCTTAATCTATAATATTTTTAAAGACTCTGTGATGGTGGTTATGCCATACCCTGTAAGTTTAAGTGCCTTAATTTGGTTTTGTTGATTAATGACAAATCTAATTATATGAGACTAACAATTTTATGAGCTTTTGTTTGACTAGTCTCATTTGGATATGAAAGTAAAAATGATGAGATGTATGTATTAAACTTCACATATTCTAACTTGGTCTCTCTTGTGGATCCAAAATATAGTGTGAGCTCTCTCATTGATCTTGATTGATTATGTGCATATGTGTTCCTTTATATCCATATGTATGCACATCTTGAGGGGGAGGTTATTCTATATTTTGTTTATTATAAGATTTCCATCTTGATTTGAAATCATCTTTCATCTCATCTCTTTATATTGTTTATATCGGATTATTATCTATCACAAAAGAGAGAAAATATTGAAAGATCTTGGATTAAACAATTTGTGTAATTGTTGCTTTGGTGATAGATGATAAACCGATGTTTATGGGATTAACCTCTCTTTTACATAAGTTTTCAACAAGGTTATTTCCCGATAATGAGATGTGGTAGATATGCATTCTTTGGTGATGGACCTTAATCATGACAAGGATGAAATTCATGGAGATAAAGTGATATGTATCACTTCTTATCTCCTACTTTTTGATAGGTTCATATATATGATTTCCATATTATTGTTATATAAGTGTGAGACTAATGTTTACTTGAGTCTTATCTTATTTAGTCTCCTTTACATTGAGAACATGGAGATCATGAAGGTATGTGTTTTTTGTTTATCTTTATCATTGCTACATGCCTTCTCCATGTGTATAGGATAAACCCCATTGGTTCTTCATAACTTATGCATACACTTGCCTCTCTTGTATATTTATTTGTATGCATATATTTAGGGGGAGCAAATCCTATACATTTATTGTTCACCTATTATTTATATTGGATCTTTGCATTTGAGCTTGCATACGAGTATATGACACTTGCGATGTTAATGAATACTCAACAAACATATCTATATATTTCATATGCAACCGGTTGGTCACCAAGTGGAGGATGACAATCGATTTGTTGGTACTAATGTTCTCCTTTGAGATGTGTAAAGGAATAGGTCTAATTGTGATGAGGCTAATGGATGACACTATGGGTTGATGGTCACCAAGCCAAGGACATCGCCATGTCGACAAGAATGAAGTCAAGATTGTGATGAGAAGAAAGCCTTAACAAAGGATGGTCAAGACCTCGGCATAAACATGGTTCAAGCGAATGGTCACGAGTGTTGATCTTGACTCAAGCATTGACCCCAAGTTGGATGGCACAAGGCAAAGGTATAATTGAATTAAGAATGTTTTCGTAGTCTTTTCTCGGTCTTGGTGTTTGGTGTAGACCGGATTTGCTAGATAGGCACCATACTATCAAGAGGGGCCTATGAAGCAAGCACGTAGATGATCTTGTGCCATATTAGTTCATATGCATGTAGGTGCATTTGGTGGTCTTGTCTAGCCAAGTGTGATGAGTTTTCTCATGTCCCAAACAAAGAGAGAAGTTGGTATGTCCAATAGGAGTGAGTGACATCTTGTGGGTATGTCCGGTGGATATCCTTTGGAGAGTGAGCCCTTTCTCCCTGAATTAAGTTGTGTTTCTTGGATGAATTATTCATGGGTTGGATAGCCCTTTGAATAAGCTTTCCATAGAGTCCAAGAACGCCAAATTCCGAGATCCAAGTCAAGAGATATCGCCGTTTTACTAACGGTTGGTTGTGTTGAAAAGTGACCTGCGGTGTGACCGTGGGCCTTAGGTCGGTCTGACCGGGGCTGTTAGCCGGTCTGACCGGCGTGGTAAGGCCGGTCTGACCGGCCCTACTGGTCTATTTGCACTGGTCTGGTGTTTGGTGGCGATACAGAGCCGCCAGAGCCGCAACCGGTCAGACCGAGCCGATGGCGGTCTGACCGAGCCATGGACGGTCTGACCGGCCACTACACTGCGGTTAGACCGGCCAGGTTGAGTGGGCTCAGTGATTACCCTGTAACGGCTAGTTTTCTAGCCGTTACAAAGTAGTCCGGTCTGACTGTCCACTCTATGGCGGTCTGACCGGCAGAGCACAGAGTTGGGGATTTCGACTCCAATGGCTAGTTTTGGTGGTTGGGGGTATATATATCCACTCCCCAGCAGCAAGGGTAAGGTTTTGGCACTCCATTGCATTATCTTAAACCCTTGCAAGAGCTCTCACACCCTTGTGCACTTAGTTTATCTAGTAAGGTGTTAGAGAGTGAGTTAAGCCAATCCAAGTGCATTGCTTCATTGTTATAGCTAGTGTGGCACTTGATCATCCTCGGCAAGCATCCTAGACTTGTTACTCTTGGAGGTTGCCGCCTCCTAGACGGCTTGTGGAGGTGTTGCCTGGTGACCTCTCTGAGGAGATTGTGGAGGAGGCCCGATGCTGATTGTGAGTTGGTTTGGAGTTCACCACCTTCGGAGTGAAGGAAGAACTACCCTAGTGATCGAGGCTTGGGTAGTCCTCTCCATGGGCCGGCTCCCACCTTGCCCACCCCTTGACGAAGGGGGCGTGCGGTAGCTTCGTGGTTGAGCGGTGGAGTTGAGCTTGCCTCAACGGGGATTAGGAAACCGACGAGTTTCCGAACCTCGGTGAAAAATCCCTTGTCTCTTATCTCATTTATTTGTTGCATTTACATTTGAGCAAGTTTACATACTAGAGCTTATTTGTGCTATTTCCACCCTAGGCTTGCAAACCTTAACATAGGCTAGCTTCTTTGTGCACTTACTTGAGACTAGTTGATTTAGGTTTTGAATTGTGCAAAACCGTTTTGATTTACGCTTCCGCATACAAAAGCCGGTTTTAGCCAAAAGTTTTAAAACCCTTTAGTCGGCTTCCTTGATTCTACATACCCACCTAGCTGACAAGTGGGGGCCACCATCTATCTTTTGGGTCCATCATTATTAACCAACAATGTACTAGACTGAGAATATCTATTTGCTTCATGTACACTGTATAACATATCATATCATCATTAGTCAGAGTGTGAGAGTGATGGTTTAGTTTTAGTCAACTCATCTAATATAATTAGAGCCCATTGCAACGTACGGGTATTTTTCTAGTGTTCTATAAAAGATATAAGGTGTATTACTTGTGTTTACATAAGACCCTACCATATTTTATCTAAAAACAATAGATGCATTTGCAAATCCAAGGGCGGGATCAAAGTTATTTTATAAAAGAAACTTTTATAAAATCACTATCACAATTAACCAACAACACTATAATGGTTATGGTATTGTAGTGGAGTTGTATGTGTAGAACTCTACCTATTAGGGTTTAAATCCTAATACTTATAAATATAGCATGTGCGAGTACGCTTAGTAATTTTGTGAAACCAGTAAAACTTAAATATAACTAGTATTTGCTATGGAAATTTTATTATCAATTTACTCATCAATATTAAAATTTAATGGAGTTGCTGATGAACCCGGGCGGGCAGAGCCAGAAAGATTTTTGAACCCGAGTAAACTTTAATATAATTAGAATTTGCTATAGAAATTTCATCATCAATTTACTCATCATTATTAAAATTTAATTGAGTTTTCGCTGGCGAGACCAGGCGATGGCTCCGCCCCTGCATGTATGCGGATACTAGCAAGGGCGGAGGTGGTAAGTTATCAGGAGTAGGGCTCAATCATGTAGTTTATCTGAAGTTTAGTGTTGGCTCAAGCCCAAGCTACCCTTCACGTGGCTCTGGCACTCCGCTGCTGGATACTGGGTACACGACCATCCTTCTGAGTTTAGCACACATTTATACACATGTAGATGTATCTTTAATAGGGATTTAGTTAGTTCATATATAGATTTAATATTGGGTCTCTCTTGAGCCATTGAGACGCACTTGTAAGTGTGGTATGTGTGTGGTAGTATGCCGCTCAGCCGCTGTGTGTCATGTGTATATACTGCTGAGGTGCGTGTGCGTCTTCCATACAATCTAATAAATAATAATTTGTTTTGTCACGTTCTCACGTAGTATCGAATTGAGATTTTTGGCAGCGCGCGAGCCATGCTCCTATCATGCATATTCTCCAAGCTGGCAAAACAACACCTGACTATCAACACTGTAGTCAATCACAATAGGTTTGCACAAGCAGGATGCAGGATGCCAAGAACACTCCCAACAACCAATATGCATAGACAACCCTTTTATTGCCTCTCGGTGCCTCACTACCTCCCCGATACATACTCCTGGGCTCCTGGCTAGTAGCTACTGATCACTACTGAGACAGACGACGTAGTCGGCCAAATGGACAACCCATGAAACAAAAAGATGTACACACATATCGACCGGTTAACTGAAACAGGAAAGCAGAGGGATGAAGAAGATCTATCGCCACCGGGGACGGCGAGTGGCCGGCCGGCCGGCCGGCGAGCTAGGGGCCAAGAGGCTAGAGCATGTCCCTCAGCACCATGATCGCCGCCGCGTGCTTTTCCTGCAGAGATTGACATCAACGAGCCGCGCGCGCGCCATTAGTTACGCATGCAGCATTTGATCGAGAACACATATGCCACTTCGTGCAAAAGGCAAAAAGCGCAGGCCCAGTTTAATTAATTAGCGCGCGAGAGATGATATGGCTCACTCACCTTGTCGCGCGCCCTGTCCCGGACGCCGCTGCACACCGGTCGGCCACGCTCGTCGTACAGTATCATCCCGCTGAACCGCGGCAGCTGGCACTTGACGCCCATCAGCACCTTCCTCTGCCATATCGGCCGTGCCGGCGTGCCACCCGCCGCCACCGTCAAAGCCGCCTCCGCCTCCGCCCCGCACTTCACCACCTTCTCCGCCGCTTCCTCCTCGATCTCCAGCACGTCGGCGTCAGCGTCGACTCCCAGTAGCCCGTACGGGCCACCACACCCGCCGCCAGCGCCAACGCCTCCCACGTCCTCCGCGCCGGCAACCTCGCCGCGCCGCCGCCCCGCGTAGACGACCTTCTCCTTCCACACGGCCACGGATGACATACAGATCCCCATTAGCAGCTAGCTCGCTCGTGCTCGAGTTCGAGCAAACGCCAACGCCAATGAATCGAGGATGGATCAGGACGGCGAGACAGCTAGATTAGCTAGGTAGCGGTGTAGCAGCTTGTAGTACGTGGTGGTGGTGGTGAGCTTTCTTAAGGCGGGTGGCGCCAAGAATGAGCCAATGCGCGCACAGGCCGCCCGTGACCGCGACGCCGAGAGTGCCGCACACTCCTTGCGCCCGCTTGCCGCTTGCGGAGTCATTGAGCGCGCGGCCTGGATCGATCGATGCGTGTATTTACGTTTCACCGTTTGGCGTCCTGCGCGCGCCGCCCGGCGCGTGCATGTGAAGCATGCCCAGCTTGGCAAAATGGCGATGATTTTGGCAAGGACTGGTGGTTTACGGAGTAGGAGTAGTAGTTTTCTTGAGATTGGAGTAACCAAATCTTCTCGGTAGGGTTGGTTGGGGTGCCTTAACTTGAGTGGTGGAGGTGGGTTAATGTGCTGTGGTGTCATTGCTTGGGTTACTAGATTGGTTTCCAAGAAATGTACTTACTGGTGTAATTGTGGAAATGTACCTACCAGTGTAATTGTGGAAAAATGAAGGTAATCACAAGTGTTTTAGTGCATGTGGTAACTGATGCAGGGACAAATTTAAGTTGGAACCTTGTGAATAGAGTGCACATGTAATATACTTTAGGATAAAACTGTATTATTTTCCTTTTGTTTTTGTTTGGAACTCATAAAATTTTGTTACTGTTTAGTCAAGTTACATACTCCTATTACAGTTTAAATACTAAAGGAAACAGCAACAGATGATGGGGATACATTCTTTAAAGCCTTTTCGAGCAACTGCAGGGGGCTTTCTTCGTCCATCCAGGAACGACAGCACCCAAGACATTCTTGAGCAACTAGCTAATGATTTCGAGATGGTCCTGACTGTCAAGATTGAAGTCCAAAAATCATGTCAATACAATTTAGCTCAGTCTCGATGGTTTGGAGCTCTCCTAGCAAGTAGAAAAAACACAAAAATTCAAAGCAGCAAGTTCAGTTGCATTAAAATATCTGCCATTCAATTTTTAGGACAGAATAAATCCCTACTCGTGATTAGAAGAGCTAGGTTCCCACTAAAGAAAATAAGCTGATATCCAAAGACAAAACAATGAGAATCAGCACTGACCTGTCACTAGGTACTTCAACGGTCTCTTCGGAGCAACAACCCAGTGGTGACAGAGATGATAAACAGTTCATGGCACCTAATTGCGGAAATCAGGAGGTACAGTCTCTTTTGTGAAGTATTCTTTTCTCACTGTCTCGACATCACAAAATCTCACCTTATGTGCAGGAATAACAACAGTGAAGGGGTAAGATTAAGTGCCATTTGCTAAATAACTTCTATGCAGAGGGGTAGAGAGGGAAGCTGACCAGTGATGCATATTGTTTCAACAAAGGTTTAACAAGCTGCCACATCGGCTGAAACACAAACGGTGCATCAACAAAAAGAACTTGCCCGAGCCGCTTTGGGTAGTAATAGTAGAACACATCAATCTGAACAAAGTTAGGGAAGTAGGGTAAACAGGAGTACAGAAAACAAAATGGTTTGTGGAAAATATGCATCAAGCGTGGAAGCCAGCAAGTTTCAATGGTTCAACTAACATAATAGTACAAACTTATGATCGTAGAATATATACAGGACATGGTCTGTTTTTAGTACTCCCTCCGTTTCATATTATAAGTTGCTTTGACTTTTTTTAAGTCAAACTTCTTAAAAGTTCGGCCAAGTTTATAGAAAAATATAACAACACTTATAGTATCAAATTAGTTTCCTTACATCAAGCATTGAATATATTTTGATAGTTTGTTTGTTTTGTATTGAAAATGTTACTATAATTTTCTCCCTACTAAACTAAAAGAAGTTCTGAGGCTTAGGGCTAACTTTAGGCTAACTTTAGATTTTCATTGATTGATTGGTAATAAAGTACATGGGGTCCCTTTATATATAAGGACAGATTTGACATCGAAGGAACTAATCTCTAGTATTTTAGAAACCAATCCAATATCTACGGCTCTAACTTTCTTATAAACCTCATATCTTTTCTAACTAGATAATATATCATGACTTACTCCTAACATATCATGCCTAATCTGCTGCATGGGCTTGGCCCATGCCCATAACATAGAGCAGGCAATTCTTGTTTAGTAATGATGTTAGTTAGCATTCTTATACTATTACAAACTGGTATTTAATGAAAGTAACTTTTTTTTTATCTTTGATAAACAAAGGCAAACCGGTTGAAAGAGTCAATTAGGCCTAGAGGGGGGGGGGGGGGGTGAATAGGCTAATTCAAAAACTCAAGTAAACGCGGGAGTAGGAATTTTCGGAATTTCCGAAAATGACAGAGTATGCGTAATTCAAAGTAAATTCTAGATCTAGCTGCCTACAACAGGAAAATACTAGCACAAACAACAACTAGACCTATAGCAGCACAAACAAGCAAAGCTAGAGGAGTGAGGATGCTGCACAATGAGTTGTTCCTCGAGTTCGAATCCTTTAGGGGATTCTACTATCCATTGAGGAGCTCACAAAGAGCCGGGTCTTCGCTAAACCTTTCCTCAAGAGATTGCACAAAGCACTCCTTCCACTAGTGATATCTCTTCCCTTTCGGAGGTGAGATCCGACCTTCACAAACTTCTCCTGGCCAACCACACGTACATTGGTGGCTCGAGAGTGACACCTAGCCACCTAGGAGTCCTCAACCTCCGAGAGTAACAAATGATGCAATGAACTCCCGGAGACGATGCAAGTGCTCACAAATCTTCACGAAGCCAACAAGCACTCACACAAACTCGAATCCACAACTCTCTCTCACACACACCAAATCCAAGTCAAACACGGGTGGAAAGGGGAAACAAGAAAGCAAGGCTCAAAATTACTTTCAAACACGTCCGAAAATTTCCAGAAACGTTTTTTGGTGCGCAGACATTTTCGGAAATTCCAAAAATGGATTTCGGACAGCTTCAAAAATTTACAGAAACATTTTGCCTTCACTGTCATTTTCGGGAATTCCGAAAAGTAGTTTCGAACGGGTCCGAAAATTTACATAATCGATTTTGGCTTCTCAGTCATTTACGGAAATTCCAAAAATCAATTTCGGACAACTCCGAAAATTTCCAGAAGCGAAATTCAGTTATGTCTATTTTCGGAAACTCCAAAAATCTGTTTCAGACAACTCCAAAAATTCCCAGAACACAGAAACTGAGGAGAAACCCTTTTAAAAATAGATTTTGAGCACATACATCACTCCTCATACGTCAATGCATCATCTCTCTTAATAGTACGGCTTTCCTAGTGACCCAAAGAAATAAAAATAAACAAGATCACCTTTTGCTCATTGCAGCAACTCATGATTTTGTCGCATTCGTTGAGATATGCATTGCGCTACAAATCGTCATAGACTAACAATCCTTCACATTCACTTAAATAAAATTGCTAGTCCTCTCTAATCGTATTGTCATTAATCATCAAAACAATTAGGGGCCTACATGCACTTTCACCAGTGATAATTGTATGCATGTTCAACCCTCCAATGACTTAGCAATTAATCTGAAATGCTTGGTTAGTAGCTTCTGAGGGACAACTACGTAGTTGGGAATAGCATAGAATGAATGAACACAACTTACCAAAAACTTCAAAAACTGGAGATCACCATTTTCCACCTGAAATCCTCGAAGATCAAAAATGCCAAGTATATTCTCTGTTCCCAAGGGAAGTCTACTCAATGCCTTCTCAACTAAAAAGGCACACAACTTCTCATTTTCAACTGGATCTTGTTTCTGTAATTGTGTGGACCAGTAACATAACTGAGATTATCAGAAAGATAGACACTAAACAGAAATCAGAGTACAAAGTCAAAATGAAGCTGTGTTGTGTAAATATGTAAATCATGTTTTTAGTTGCTCTCAGACACTCTAAGTTCTAATGATATGCCACAAATAATTCTGTAGTTCTACACTTCTACTTTGTTCCATGTGCTGTTCTAATGCTTTGAGAATGCCTGTACCCACTATTTAGGCTAAGAAACATCAAAAGTTCAACATGTCTAAATCATGGTTAACAACATAAAGAACTTACAGAAGGGAAATGCTTTGACGCCACCACTACTAGCACAGGTCTACCATAGATGTCAAAAGAATCATGCACATATGCTTTGCCAGTTTGATACAACCCTTTAACCGATTCTTCTGATAATTCTGAGACTTGAAAATCCTGGCGCCATTTCTAATGTGGATGTAAGGAACACTCATTAACAAATAGGATAATGTAGATAATATAACATAGAGCTTTACCAAGGGGGTGTGATTTTAGGTCAACTCTGTGAATAGGAACAAGTGTAGTTCTTAGCAATTAAGGTTCAAGCATGTAATGCCTTCTCCCAGAAAATGAGATACAACTTGTAAAAGAATTGGAAGACGTATATGAAACACTGTACAGTTAAGCATATGCAAGTTTAGAAAAGAGAATATGGCACTAGTTTGACTGAATCACTTAAATTCCAGTTTCCACCAGAACTCAATATTCCCATCAGCGAATGTATCCAAATAGCACATTATGTATTAAAAATTCTTGCGGTAAAGTGTAAAAGTAAGCGGCACTATTGAACTTAGAAATATCTGGCTCTATTATGCTTTTTCAATACCTTACATGGATTGTGATTTTAAGAAAAACATTCATTATAGAGGCACTATAGAACAGAACAATCTAGGTTTCATAAAGAAAATTATGAACGAAACAATAGGCTAAAACAAGAGCATTTATCGTAACAGGAAATGAATGTCATATTTCTCATGTCAGCACAGTTTGTAGGATACAATGGCCTTGGTCAGTTTAGAAACTGTTTCATCGACGGAGAGCTTCCTGTCCTTCAAGAACCAGAGGATCATCTCCTCATCATCCCTCCCGTTCCTGCCCGTCGGGAGGCCCGGATGCTCCCTCTCCAGCCGTTCTTTGACCTCCAAGACGAGCTTCACAGCACATGGATAGAAGCAAATACAAGCAAGCAAGTCACGATCTACGTCTCTATCCTATCTACGCATCCAGAACATACGGGGGGTTGCTGGCACCTTGGAGGAGGAGGTGGAGGTGCCGCCGCTGGGAGGAGCGGTGCTGCAGCAGTGCACAACCCCTCTCCTGGCGAGACCCCGCAGGGGCGGCGGAGCTCGGGCGACGGAGCGGAAGGAGCAAGCTGCAGCCATCGCCTGCGGTTCTCCTCTCTCTCTCTCTCTCTCTCTCTCTCTCTCTCGTGAGGCGCTCGGATCGAGCAGGAGACGGGTTGTGAGCGACGGAGCGAGGGATTGGGGAAGAACTGGAGGAAGAAGGGTGGAACAGGAAAAACTGTTGAGGTGTGGGTAGAGAGGGATGCTCACCGGCGAGTGACGATGCGGTGGAAGCAGGAGGACGCCGGGCGCCACCTCTCCTCGCAGGATGGGGATCGGCGCAAGCGGCAGGCGAGGAGAAGAAACTCGAGGCCGAGGCCGGATGGGATGGATTAGGATGCTCACCGGCGAGCGAATGCGGCGGGAGCAGGAGAACGCTGGCGCCACCTCTGCTAGCAGGATGCCAGCGGCAGGCGAGGAGACGGGACGGATTGGGGAGGCGGAGCCGCGGAGGTCGTGCAGCGGTTTGCTGCCGTATACTCATACGCACAGGCTGGAATGTTTTCATCTCCCAAAAAAGTTCATCTAAGGTCCCTTATCTTGTCATTGAGTTTTAAACGGTCCTGAACCCTCTAATATTGTAAAACCAGGTCACTTTTGATCCCAAGGTAGTATCTTTTCGGTTTTATTGACATGGCGGCTGAGTCCCACATAGATCCTACAAGTCAACCGGCAATCTTCTTCCACCTCACTCCCCTCTACTCCCATCTCAACCCAAACCTCCAGGGCATCCGTCAATGGGTGAGAAGAAGGGTGTCGGTCGGCGGGGAAAAGCTCGATGGCGGAGGCCACCGGCTGACGTGGCTCCCAATAGCCGGGAGCGCTCACATCATGGACTTGCGCACGCGGGGAGTGCGGTGCAGGTCCCAACTACAATTGCAATGTCGTCTTCACCTGCACGCGCGAAGGATGGGGCTTCTGCCTCGTCACGCTGGCCAAGCTCCTATCCCCCAAGCTCATACTCCCCCACCCCTCGTCGAGTTGCTCAAAAGCCGATGTGTTCAGGTGTCCCCGAGCTCTGCCTCTCATTCGCAGAGGCGCACGCGCGGTTCCACCGCATCGTCTTCGAGGTCAACTCCATCTACACCATATTGCGGTTGCATCGTCCCCAACGCATGCGCCCTTCTCACCGCTCGCCACCGCCAAGCTTCTTGTTGGCTGCCAGCCTTCTCCCCACTCATCGCCAGGCGTCGTCGTCGGGCTTCTACCTACCGTTGCCGCCTAACAACCGCCACCCTTCTCCCTACTGGTCACCGGCCACCACACACTTCTCCCGTGATTCAGCGTCTGGCATCCTCTTCGCGTGCATGCACGGACACTCATGGAGTCAGTGGTGCTCGCAACTATGCTCAGGCGTCGCAACATACTCCATCTCCCAACTCTTGGAGATCCTCTCGCCAATCTTGACGGTGTGGCTGCATACGACCATGATACGGACGCGGTGCAGATGCGCGACGAACTGCTATGCAACGATGTAGCAGTGTAACCCAAGGGGACAACATGTCGGGAGCCCTTCCTACTTCGCTTCTTCGCGCTCTTCGCCGTGTAGGTCCATGACGCAGTCGTCAGTCGCCACTCTTCTCCCCACCTGTTGCCGGCTGCCCTAGAGGTCTGGGTTGAGATGGGAAGAAAGGGGAGATAGGTGGGCGAAGATTATCGGTTGACATGCGGGACCCCACATGGGCCCCACGCTGACTCAGCCACCACATCACCAAAACTGGGGAGCAATAGTGCCTTGGGACCTAATGTGACCTGGTTTTGCAAGATTAGGGATATGTTATATTTGGTATTTCAGTTCAGGGACAATTTTGAAACTCGATGACTAGGGACCTCAAGTGAACCTTTTCCTTTCATCTCTCTCGTTTATCTTTCTTTTAAGAATATCAAAGATGCTCGTGCGTTGCGACAGGAAATCCAAATTACATATGTTATTTTTTTTCGTGTACGGTGGCGGAGAGTTAGATGATGGATATTTGGGGGCCTTTTTTCATGAACCTGGGTGGGTCTCATGCAAATATTCATTGGTCGTAATTATCCAACTAAAATGTGACTGAATGGTGGGCTGTGGGTGCATGGTTTTTGCTGGTCGCACCCATAGCAATTAAGGACTGGTTCACGGGAAACCCTGGAAGACTTACAGTGCTTACCACAAGCGGGAGTGGGTAACTGCTTGATTTGTAGTATAACTCGACCCTTTCCTAGACACTAGTGGCGAGGGTGGGCGTGATGGAGTTGGGTCGGCCGGGTGTCCGGTTGTCCAGCTGTCGGATTCATCGCGACGCACGAGGGGTCTGCCCACCTTTGGGGTAGGGGGTGGGGGTGAAACCTTTGCGTGGTGTGGATGGTTAGGGGAGAGTTATATGAAGGGTCTTGTCACAATCACTCGACATGGTGACATGTCTGCGCAGGTACGGTGACATGCTGGTGGATTGTGTCTTGTGGGTACAGTTGTGCACCTCTGCCCAGAGTAAAACTATTCATATAGCCGTGCCCGCGGTTATGGGCGATCGACTAGATTCACCGTGATTAGTCCCATCCTTAATAATTGGTTAATGAACTGGTTAATTCAGGTGGGTTGGTTGGGCCTGTTCAACGTGGTGTAGCGTTGATCAGTGGAGATTTAATGTTACCTTAATCAACCAAATATTTTATTGTTTTGCTCAATAAAATGCTTTGCAACCGCCTTTATGCAAATAGCCACAAACCGTCCGTGTGTTCCCCTTGCACGTCTGCATCATTGGTGTGGCTTGCTGAGTACGGTGGTTGTACTCAGCCTTGCTATTTTCTCCCTTTTCAGATGTGTAGTGCTTCTGAGCTGAAGACGAAGTTAGGGGACCAAGGCTCAGACCCCAGTTGAGTTTTGCCTGTGGAGTGGAGCTGAAGCCCTGGTAGGATCGCCTTTTTCCGCTGCTGCTACTTTCTTTTCGGTGTGAGGACCAAGCGCCTCTTCTGTAAATATTTTATGCTTTATTTACGTTTGGATCTGTATATTAATTTGTCGTTTTGTGTACCCTGGCTGGTACTGGACAGGGATTTAATAAATAAAATAGTCTGAAAATTTAGGCTAAATTTCTGGGCGTGACAGTTGTCTCCGTGAGAGCAACACAATTCCAATAGATGAGAAGGTTGACCAGCAAGTAGGCCATGAGCACACTGGAGTTGCTGCACGGGGACGACCACCATTGCAAGGTCCGGCAAAGGGGAGAACAAGGCGGCTGAGCCAGATCTGTCGAAACAGGTGTTTGCAATCTTTAGCTTTGAACTCGGACACTAATTTCGGCTTTGATCCAACATCCTTTTAGCACTTGGATGATACCGCTGTCGGTATTTCTTAACGACATTACTAAGAATATAATTCCCAGCAATGACGCAGAAATGCTCGGGTATATTATGGTTATAGAATTCATCCGCAAGCGCACGGATATACCATTGTAGCATTTCACCCGAGAGTATTCCAAGGGTATTATATTTATTTTATTCCGTGGGAAGATCATGTAGAGAGAACTTAATTAATAATTTATATATTACTTGTGATAATCATAGTCTAAGCACTGGTTAAGATAATCCAAGGGTAGAGTGACACACAAGCAGTTGAGCTACTCATTCTCATACTAAATTATCTAAGCTAAGTGGAAAGAAAAGAGAAAGATAATCTATTCCTATACTTCTAGTATACATAGTATATATACATTCTAGTCATATGAAATACTAGCTAATACCCTTTATCCGATGCCCTCCTGGTACTTTGAGAAGCCACCTCTGACTACCGAGTTCCTTACGACAGCCCGTCATGACCATACAACCGGATCTAAATACGGAGGAGTACCCTGATGAGAACACAACTAGCTCGGATATAACCATGGCTACTTTATGTATTAATCAACCAAAGGTGCATATGTTCTATATTAGATTTACTTGTTATATATTTGAACAAACATTGCTACACGATGAGTTTTGTGTGTTTTCGTTTGCAGAGGTACTTGCTTGGGCGAAAGAAAAGAGACCGAGCATAAGGAATGCATGGATTATTGAAGAAGTTGATTGGGAACCAAACAAAGACCTTCTCCAAGTCTTCTTTCATCTCACCACGTCACTTTTGGCCCATAGAAGACAAGAGATTAAGTTGTGCGAGTTTTGGATTCGGATTCGGGCCTCCTGACAGCATTAACTTCAAATGGACCTAACCGCTGATCTAGAAGGAATTTCGGGGTCCATGAATACTTGTTAGAAAGCTTATGGAGTCTACTTTCAGATGGTTTTGGTCCCACATTAAAATTCCTACTGAGCTGCCGAGAATCTGCAAAACAAGCCACGTATCTCATCCAGTCCAAATCTGATTTGAGTTTTGGGCCTTATAATTGTGTCGTGGGCTTAGCCTAAGGGGGTGTGCGCCTTAGGGCAACCCTAGGACGTCCCTAATCACATTTATTCAGTAGCCGTCAACGTTTAGAGTTGGGTTTTGCTTAGATTATTCTGTCAAGAACTGTTTCGCCGCTAGATCGGTTTGTGGAACCCCATTCGTGTACTTAATTATTCATATGCAATTTGGTTGCAATCTATCTTGTTCTTGCTTGTGTTCTTAGATTCTCATGCAAGGATTAGCCTTCTCAGCGAGGTCAACCGGGTTTCGGCACGGTTGATAACTAGAGGAGACGTGGTGCTGCGATTGCGGAGCTCAGTAATGTGTTCGTTCAGAAGCCGGATCGAGTTATGTCGCGACTCTGCCCAAATCGATTGTTTATCAATACCTATCAGAAGATTAGGACCTAACATTCCCTCATCAGTTTGTATCAGAGCGCGGTTGCCCGTTTCCCATAACCAGAAAATTGCCACACAAAAATATTTATTCTTTACCTAGACAATTTGAGCCGTTGCATTGTTCTATTAGATTTTACTTTGTTAAATTCTAGGTTGCATCGTCGTGTCGAGTGCTGGTTTAGTCTTAGATTTAATTTTTAGTTTTGAGTATTGCATCTGTTCATCACTTAGGTCTAGGGTACATCACTCAAGTGTGTGAGTTGTATGTCAGTTTTGGGTCTAGTTTTTCATCTCGTCAGTTGTTGCCAGGACCTTGAAAAATTGAATCGTCTCGTCGTCGAGTTTCCATTTTTGTGATTTGGAGAAAATTTTATCAAACGGTTTTGGAGTTGCCATACTGTGTGCGTGTACTGTGCGCGTGAGGGGAGTACTGTGTGCGCATGAGGAGAGACTCCGTATCAGATCAAATCTATCCGTGACTATCCGTATTTCCCTATTTATAGAATTGTTAAGTAGCGGATTTGAGATATTTTTATAAAAACGGAACCTACATGATATGAGTAATCCATTTTTGAGATGATCCAATTTTAGTTTTGCACTTTGTGTTTGAGTTCTTGTAATATTCATATTTACATTTGAGTCCCTGTTCGAGGTCAGTGGTCCGTTTTTGTTGAAGAAAAAAGTAAAAAAAAGCCGCACCTAAAAAAAGAAAA